CCTAAACCCTAAACCGTAACCCCAAAGCCGAAGCTACTCAAGATCTCAGCGCCTGAGATGGCTCGGCCACTCGGGGCGTCAGACCTGCAAGGGAGTGCTCTTCCAGAGTTTGTGGTTCAGTCTCAGGGTTTAGGGGTTTAGGGGTTTAGGGGTTTAGGGGTTTAGGGGTTTAGGGGTTTAGGGGTTTAGGGTTTAGGGTTTAGGGGTTCAGAGTTTTGGGGTTTATGGTGCAGACTTTCAATTGCTTCGGGTTATCCGGAGTTCAGGGGTTCAGGGTTGTTGCATGGAAGCTGCTAGTGCACCACGGCCGTGTCTACCCCTGCTAGGTTGGCGGTAGAAGTGCCTTATCCATCCCTTTAAGAACCCCTATGGTACTCCTATAGAAACCACGTCTACATCCTTTTAGGGAGCCCTCTCTTCAGTGTCTCACTCGGTTTTGTGGCATGGATTCATGTCTCGTGGCCTCCTTCGATGACGCAAATCACATCAAACGGCATGAAACTGCGATCTCGGAACTGTTCGTCTGAGCTTTAGGGTTTCGGAGTTTAGGGTTTAGGGTCCATGCATCATTTACGGATTCGAATTTGTGGCCTCTCTTGCGCGAGCCGCAGCGCTGCGCAAACACAGTGCTCTCATGGTATAGGGGTTGAAAAACTGATATAGGGTTGTGGGTTTAGGGTTTAGGGACTTGTGCAACCAAACCTCATATCCTGAAACCCCATTCTGATGATTCAGGATTCTGGCTGCTACATCGTGAGCACATCCCATGTCGACAAACCTCAACTTCGAAATCACACCCTGACACTCTTGACTTATGCTCGGCGCCGCTCACCTCCGCAAAAACTTCTCTCAACTTCTCTCACGCGCAACCAAACCTGACCCTCCACGGTGCCATCCAGAATATTGTATATAGGGGCCCTTAATATTTAGAATAGGGTTTTGGACTTTTTTATTTTTCTACTATGCTTATAAATTGGAACCCGAAGGAGTGATGTTGGCAATTACCCAAGGGCTCCTATGTAGTTCCTTTTCGGATAGTATACTATAATTCCCTACCCTCATGCAGGGTCGTCCCGAGTCCCTTGCCAGCAGCATCTGGACCACTTTGAACTTGCGACTCCTGCTGATTTAGGGTTTAGGGTTTAGGGTTTAGGGGTTTAGGGTTTAGGGTGTAGGGGTTTAGGGTTTAGGGTTCTGTGCAGAAGAACCCGCTCGGAGCGTCTGCTTGGCCTATGGCTCCGCAGCCGCGAGACTTGGCAATCGTTGCTTGCAATCAAGAACCTGAAAAATCGGACACCGCAAACCACTGCAACTAAGGTAGCAAAAATAACGGTTGTCGGGGGGGCTCTTTCCAATTAGGGCATCTTGTTCAGCGGTACTTAGAATGGGAACATACTACAAGTACTTACCGTCCACATTGTACGCCCTTGTCTGCTGATAATCATATGGAATATAGGGGCCTAAATAATTATACCTATACACTTTTGGGTGCTCCTTTTTAAAGTTATAGTATAGTATACCCCAACACCCTATTCTACTTCTGAAGGCCCCTAGTGTAGAACCCTATCGTAGATCCCTTATAGAACCCTTTAAGGATGCCTTTAAAGGAAGCCAATTCTCATTATTAAGGCCCCTAAACCCCAAACCCTAAACCCCTAAACCCTAAACCCTAAACCCTAAACCCCTAAACCCTGAACCCTGAACCCTGAACCCTGAACCCTCAACCCTAAACCCTAAACCCTATCATCAAGGCCCCTATATTACCAGCGTCTCACCATGGCTCCTGGCTGCCCTCGCGCTCACGCGGGTCGATGGGCCTGGGTGCAGCATGGCAGGGCCTAGCGGCCTTGGGTTTAGGGTTTAGGGTTTAGGGTTCAGGGCCTAGGTGCTTTGGCGTTTTGTGGGCTTTCCGTACACCACCCGCCAAAATGCACAACTTCAGGGCTAACCCCTATACAAATATATATATATATATATATATATATGGAATATAAAACTCCGACACCTCGCAGCCCTGAGACTCGTGTCCCAAAAGCCCGACTCCTGAAGCCAAGGACTTAATAATTAGACTAGGGTTTTGAGGTATATATATATATATATACATACTGTAGTTAGAATAAGCAACCCCCAAAATGGTATTGGTAATTATTTAGACCCCGATATTGCACAGGGAAACACAAACTTGCTCGGAAATTTGGAACAACATGCTTTGGGTGCAGGGCTTGGAGGAGCTGTGCATTGAAGATTGCGGGTGTTGAGCCCTGACCACCTGCAGCTGGGAAACCCTATGGGTAGTTCTCTAAACTAGGGTCCCTGTTTGGATCCCCAAATATAGTACGGCACCCTTACAGAAAGGACCCCCAAAGGAACACTACTTCAGAAAACTACCCTATACAGTAAGAGCTTTCACCACGAAGTACCAAAAGCCAGAAGATGTTGAACCCTAAACCCTAAACCCTAAACCCTAAACCCAAAACCCAAAACCCAAAACCCTAAGAGTCTGACCCTGAGCCGAACAGGCCAGTAGAAGGGGTTAGGGCTTCAGGGTTTGAAGGGGGGGTTTTAGGAGGGAGCGTCGGGCTTTAGGGGTTTCGGGTCCCGGGTATTAGGGTTTAGGGTTTAGGGTTTAGGGTTTACAGGCATCACCGTGATGATCACGATGATTGTCAGTAGTGAGTATTGATGCTCCCATTTCGTTATGATTCTGTATGTCAGTATTCTGACCATTGGCATCATTGCTAGTATCGCCATCCTCGGCACTGATATCATGTGGCGGTATCGTCATTGTCTTCGTCATCAGTGTCATCACCGTTATCACCGTTCTCCTGAACAGTCTATATGCAGGCAAACACGTCCACACACACATGTGTGTGTGTGTATGTATATATATATATATATATACGTATATACGACTATCCATATATATATATATATGTAGAAAACATATGAAAGTTATATTACGAAGATTAGTATCATCCTGACTTGCTGCCGAAGCTTCCTAGCGACTCTAGCATCCTGCTTTCACATGGGTGGTTGTCAAAATTTTGGTCCCTTTTTGGGTCCTGATTATAATACGGCACCTATTATTTAGGGTACCCCAAAAGGGACCAGAATTTTGACAACTACCCACATGAAACCATCTTTTACAGACGCTGTCCGTGGAAAGGGTCGCCAAGAGATCTCCGAGCTGTCTCTTGGAGAAAGTCAGGAGTCTCACTTGAGCGAGAAAACCGTCACAAAGTTCTTACTTCCCCAATAAGCCAGGGAATAAAAGGTTAAACTTTCAGATTACCTCAAATTAGAAGAACCCAAAAAGTTTAAAGGTTGGGTATTGGGGAACTAAGAGTTCAGAAAGCAACCTCGACATAGCCATCTTTAAGAGCGAGCGAGGAGACCCGGTGGCACTCTGACGGGTCCCCCTCGAGACCAAGCTGCAGAAAGAGGGGGATCGAATGGCCACGGGCAAAATCTGCCGCGGTCCAGTCCCGGCAGTTGCGGAGGTCCAGTCTTGCACCGGCTGATATCAGAGCTGCGGCGGCCTCGAATTGAGCCGTCCTGATGGCCTGCATCAGTGGCGTGCTGCCTTGCAGATGATAGGCAAAAGTGGTTAAACCGGTTTCCCGGCCAAGCTGGTACTGCCGCGACTTCACTGCAGTGAGCAGCCGGCCCAGTCTGCTGAAATCACGTTGGACGTTAAATTGAAAGTCGATGTCGGCCCGGAGGGCGATCAACCGGTGAACCAGCTCTGCCGAGCCGCCCCGAACTCCTGCAGCACTCGACAGCGCGCGCGAAAGGTCCAGGGAACCTGGGCGACCCTGCATCACCAGCTCCTCCAGCGCTGCAGTGGCAGCATAACCAGCTGCATGTTGCAAGGCATTGAAAGAGAAAATGTTGGGAGCAAGTGGCCTGGCGCCTGCTGCGCACAAGAGCCGGATTCCTTCTGCGTTGTCTGCCATGGCCGCATGAAAGGCAGCCGGACCAATTCCACCCTCTAGGTGGGCTCTCGCCGCGACAAGAAGCCGCGTAGCCTCCTCGTGCTTATAAAACACCGCCAAATCCAAAGCCGACATCCAAGGCGGAAAGCCCAGCATCGGCTCGTCCTTCGATGTGCGCCGGTTCACGTCGGCACGCTTCTCCAGGAGGCCCCGCAACACCTTTGCATTGCATGCAAGTGCCGCATAGTGCAGAGGCCACCACCCGGCGCTGTCGGCTTTGCCGATCCTGGTCAAGCCGTTTTGGTGTAGGAACTCTGCCACATCATCACCACCCTCGCAGCTGGGAAGCAAGCCGTCAACCGGCTCGATCTCCAGCCCCCGCAGGTGAACCGTCTGGAGGTTGAAGTGGCGCCGGAATCCGGGCAGGTCGCCCACTTGCAGGCAATGAAGCAGTTTCTGAACCAAGATCTGCCGCATCACGGGGGCCAGCCTCTGTCGATCCTCCTCGATCTCGAAATCGCCTTCCCCAACGGGGCCACTGGGAAAGGACAGCACTGTGCCAACAACTTCAACGGATCTTTCGCTTTGGATCAGAATCCACGTGCTATTTGGCGACACCTCGCGTGCGTAGCGTTCCAGGCGGCTCCAGGTCGCTGCCGTCATCACCGTGCTCTTGCAGGGGCAGTCGAGCACCGGACAAAGCGCGAAGAAGAAGTGGCACCTAGTTCATGGTTGGGGTAGTATTAAACATTTAAATATACATTCCTTATTGGGTTTAAGTACCCTTAAAAATGTAAAATGTTACCCAACTATGACAAAGGCACCGCCCTATATAGGCCGGTATGCTGTTGATGGCGCTGGCCTGCAGCAAGTCATCCAGGTTGAAGGAACGACTCGCTAGATGCTCCAGCTGCGGGCACGAGAAATAGTCGTACCAGAAGTACAAATTCTGTGCCTGGAAGTCCTGCATGACAACAGACCTGGCCGTTCGCACCACGACGTCGGTACTGGGATCTAGCGAAAGACGTCCAGAGCCGTTCAGGATGTGCTGCACGGCATGCTGTAACGTACGCATCTGTCTGAAATCAGGATCGGGGTGGTCGTTGGCAAGCCACTGGTGCGACACGAAGACTGCCTTGCCCAAGTCGTCGAAGAAAGGAACAAGCTCACCTCTAGCCTCCGAACCATCAGAACGATTTCGGTTTAAGGGTTGAGGCTTCGGGCTTGAGGGATTGGGCCTTAGGGACTTTAGGAGTTAGGGTAACCCCTAAACCCTAAACCGCTAAACCCTAAACCCCTATAAACCCTAAACCCTAAACCCACTCCTAAACCGCTCAACCCTAAACCCTAAACCCCTAAACCCTAAACCCAACAAGCCTGGCAAGCTCACCTTTCATCCGAAAAGGCACGAAACCCGAAATCCCTCAACTAGGTAGTATGATTAGGGGTACCCCCTTAAGGGGTACCCCTTCTGAACCCTACTTTTGGCTCTCTTAAAAGGGACCTTATTGAGAAGGTCTATATCCCCAAGGGTCCCCCTAGTCCTAGCTCCCATCAACCACGAGGCCTTGAAAATTCCCCTGGATGCCCGGAGTCTGTACCTTTAACGTACGGTTTAGAGTTTAGGGTTTAGGGTTCAGGGTTCAGGGTTTAGGGTTTTTTTAAAAGTGTAGTGGCTCCTTTTCTCCGCAGAAGCCCACCTATAGCAGGCATACACTCAATCTACCGCTCAAGCAGAGCAAAACACATATCAGCCGACAGGCCCGACATGAAACAAAAGCTGCACTCAGCTATGAGCATTATGATGTCCCAGAGCTTCAGCTTCACTCTCCAACTCGACAGGCTCAGAACTATCAGAGCTTTCTTCATCCTCACTAAGGCTAACACCCGCACCAATCACTGGAGCATGAAAAGACCCATCCATTTCACCGACAGAGACGCCTCCACCACCCACATCATCCGCAGACTCCACCGGGTCCATCACGTAATCTTCCTCCACATCTGCAGCGACCACAGGGTAGAAGGCATTCATCATGCTGGAGGAGGTCCTTGACTGACGTGCTTCCCGAAACATTGGAGCAGGTCGAGGAACATGATGGCGCCGACGCGAATGCCTCACACCCCGACGAGGAAGAAGTCCAGGGCGAGTGCAGCTCTCCGGGATGTGCAACTCCGCATTCTCATCCGCCTGTACCAAGTAGAGGTCTTCGTCATCCTCAGACGGCCATCTGCCTTCAGGCACAACACCTCGTTCTCGGGCATGCAGAAGACGAGCATTTTCCCGCCACATCCGACGGCGAAGTCCCACTATTGTATGGTGTTCAACCTGCGGGAGAGCAGACCAGAGCTCTTCAAGGGTGGTTGGTAGTCCAGGCTTCAGCAGCACAAGTAGGTTGTGTACTTCCGTGTTGGCCTCCACAAACCCAGAGCCAGCAGGCTGACCCGCTTCACCGGATATGGCTTCCCAAATCTGAGCTTCCATCGAAGGCGAATTGAGGGCTTGGGCATGGACTGGGGCATGTAGCCAAGGAAGTATCTCCTCAATGGCAACGCCGAGCAGGTGGTGGAAACGCTGTAGCCTTCGCTGCCTGGCAAGCAAACGATGAAGGATGTCAACCACATCCGCAGTGCCCCCCAACATCATCTGTAGGTTCACAGCATCACGAACCACGTCTTCTGGCATCAACGACGAAGTTGTAGTCGTAGTCCAAAGCAGCGAGTGTGACACCCATGCTTCGCCATCGAGATAACAGACCATAGCAGAAGAAGCCACCCACAGAGGCCCAGGCGAAGTCGTACACGTCCACGTGGAAGAAGCCGACGAAGAGGACGAGGAAGACGAAGACGTAGACGCCGAGGGGGTCGATGGTACGGAAGCCGAAGAGGAGAGAGAGAGCGAGGGCATAGAAGACAAGGGGCCGGTGCCCGGGTTTAGGGTTCAAGGTTCGGGGTTTAGGGTTTAACCTTAACCCCTCAAATTTTCAACGCGATCCAGCTTAGAGTCGCACCCAAAGGCCCCATAGTAGTTCCTTTTTGTTGTTTGTATTTAGGATCCTATTAGGCAATCCCAACAAGGAACTACTATGGGGCCATATGGGTAGAGGCTTCATGGGATTTGCAAGTTTGGAGAAGGACCTTTGGACAATTATACGACAGGAGAGCTATGTCAATGAGATTCTAGCTATAGATGCGTCACAGTGATTTAGGGTTTAGGGTTTAGGGAGTTTAGGGTTTGTAGGGAACCCTCAATGACACATCCCTTCTCTACTACGTGACTTCCGGCCTTTAGCACTTCGTGGGGCTCGATCGTCGTCATGTTCAGCAGCACATCCGCAGTTACGGTCCACATGGGGAAGGACATCGGAGCTGCCTCAGAAAAAACGACCGACGGAAATTTCATGCGTGCACATGGGTAGTTTTCGAAATTAGGTTCCCTTTTAGGGTCCTCTTTATAAGGGTGCCGTACTATATTGGGGACCTAAACAGGGACCCTAATTTGGAGAACTACCCACATTCTACTTGTAGTGCGACGCCCAGCGGCGTCTGTATCGTCTGGCAAGGTCCGGCCATAGGTTTCGAGCGGCGTCAAGGGCTTTCCGAAGAGGCAAGAGGACATGAGCTCAAGTCGCGATGGAGTGAAACGGAAAAACGGCCGGAGCCAAAGCCCCTGTGCCAGAAAAGGAACGAGTTGTGGACTGTGCAGTGGGGATTTCGGGGTTGCTTGGGAACTGAATGCCTGGCATGCCTGTCTGTTGACTGCTTCTACGGAGATCTGTGCGCTCCACAGAAGCTCTGGATCCAGAGTTGCCAGCGTCAGCAGCCAAGACATGCCGCACCTGCAATGCAAACGATGCTAAAGCCAGTACGGATGCTTGTGCTGATACATGCGCTACTGGCACGAAAACCAGCATATGTGCTAGTACAAAATAATAATGCCATGTAGTACGAATACGAGTAGGTACATACTGGTGCTCGTACGAACATTGAACATCACCTTTGTTAACATCAAAATCATCGCTATCGTCATAAAGAACCTTCTTGCCACCGTCATCGTCATCATCATCATCATCATCATCATCATCATCAACAACAACAACATCAACATCAACATCACCAACATCATCATCATCATCATCATCATCATCATCATCAACATTATCATCGTCAGCATCACCATCATCATCACCATCATCATCTAACTATCATCCTAAACCCCAAACCCTAAACCCTAACGCCTACCCACGCCTCAGCCCTAAACCCTAAACCCTCAACCCTAAGCCCCAAAGCCTGAAACCCGAAACCCCAAACCCTAGACCCTATAAACCCTAAACCCCAGACCCTAAACCCTATAAGCCCTAAACCCCGGACCCTATACCCTCAACCCTAAGCCCTAAACCCTAAACCCTGAAACCCCAAACGCCAAACCCTAGCCCCCAAACCCTAAACCCGACCCAAGCCTCAGCCCTTACTTATTGAAACCGAAGCCCAGGTACAAACGCGGCCGTGGCCCGGCCAGCGCCGTTAACTCCTCGGCGCCCCGGCACGGTGGCTTCCATAGGGTCCCTTTAAAGGGATCCTTTAAGGGATCTATGATAGAGTTCTATATTAGGGTTTAGGGTTTAGGGTGTCCCTTTACAGGGATCCTTTAAGGGATCTATCATATTCGGGGCCTTAATGATTAGAATATGGTTTTGGGGTATATTACACTATAATACTGATAAGGTGCCCCCAAAATAGCATCGGTAATTATTGAGG